TTCCGTTCCGTCAGTTTTGGCCTCGTCCTCCACTTTTTCCTCCTCCTCCTTCTCCTCGGGAGGCGGAGGTGAATGGGAGGGCTTTGCGTCATCGGACTTCTCTGTTTTGGTAGATTTCTCGCCAGCACCGTCCTTTGCTTCTTCTACTTTTTCTCCATCAGCGGCGGCTGCTGCCTCATCCTCGTCATCATCCAGCTGTATGGTAAACTCAGCGTCATTGTCGTTGAGTTTTTTGTCGGCTTCATCGGCTTCCTTATCTACCGCCGCCGTCTTCTTCTTGTCCTTCTTCTCCTCTTGCTTGCCCTCTGAGGAGGGTTCTGAGGGATCAGCACGGTTGCGGCTGGGCATTTGTACTATTAGCAGAGGCGGTGTACGTGTGCAATCGCAGGGTAATGAATTGCAAGCGCAGAAAGTGGGCGCAACTTGACGAAAAAGGTGTCACAGGACAGGGAATAACTAAGTCTGTACAGAGAGAGAGAGAGAGATAGGGGATGCGTCCGGACACCAGCAGCTACGAAAGTTTACGCTGAATTGACGCCCAAAGCAGGTCTGGACGCCGTGCGGGATCAGTTTGACCTAGGCAGCGTAACAGCCAATAAAATGTCCCAAATCTTCATTGGCCACGTCCGGCTCCGGCACTTTAACCATTAGGATAAATTGACAAGACAACATGGTTGCCGTGAAGCATGCCTGTCTTAAAACCAGGTGCTACTCGGCTAGGAGGTCTGAGGAAAGATGAATGGTTTCATCTACGGCAGACGAATTATACATTTAGAAAAAAACCGCCTTCATGTCCTCCATAATTTTTAGGAATTCGGCTACCCCATCGAAAATTACCTGCATAGTGAATTGGGATTGGGGTGTATGGATGTTTATCAGTGACACTTGCATTGTGAAGGTCAGGGTATCAGTTTTGCTCTTTAATTACCGATCTGTGACACGTAGGTCCCTTTGAGTTTTTAAAGCAAAGCAAAAAAATGGTGATAGGAAAATATATTATTTCATTGAACAGTCGAAAACGCAATGACCTAATTTTTTTATTCACATGTATGCTTTTTATGAGTACGCCAATCTATTTAGGCTTGTACGATTATCGTGTCTTGAAATCAAATTGTTTAGATAAGACCAAACGCATCAGCTACATCTCATTTTGGGGGTAAAATCGCAGTTACTTATTGCCTTCATTCAATAAAGTTATTAGCAATGATAGTATTTCTAAAAGGTTTATATATGTCATTTTCGTGGGCATTTAAAAGCAGGCCCAGAAAATCTACCATGCAAAACGTGCCCACTATAGAAATGACTGGAGCAGTAAACACCCGACTGTTGCTAAGAGAGAATTGAAGCCGAGACATGCATACCTTAAATTCAATGATGGGAATCCGGATATTTGAGAATGATAACACGCTGAACATTTAGCGCAAAAGGTGGTCTAAAGCAGGTGATCACTCTGCGTCCTTGGACACAATATATTTATCAGAAACAGGCACTTGAAACGATCGCGCTAAATAAACAAATCTTCCGACATATCTGCACTATTTGAACAAAGCGTAAGTCCAGAGGTATTCCGAAAATATACATTAAAGCTCGAAAAATCGTTTTCCCGGAATAAATTTGAAAGAAGGTGAAGACTGAGAAATCTACCCATATTCAATGCCACCAGGCCGTTTCGTGACCTCTTATTCAACTGCCCGCAACCATTGCATATTTATTCAACTGATCGTTCATTAAGAAAACTACCTGCGCCGATTAACTAGGATAGACAAATGAAAGGCAAGGAATACTGATCATTCGTTGAAGAACGCTCATCGATCACTTACGCAAATCACGCACTTCTTTCTGCCTTGGGGCTCATTCTCGAGCCCCGGCGCCAGCAGCCACACAGTGGCTAGCCTATTGTAGGCAGATTAACATTATCGGCAAAGACAGAGAAGATTAAAATGCCACTTTATGTCTAAGCAGCTGCCACCAGCCAGTCATACCCAAGCCCCAAGTAGTGCACTACCCGAGACTCGAACCCACAATCTATTGATCAGAAGTCCAGCACTCTAATCATTGAGCCACGGGCTTAATGGTTAGAGCTGGTGGGAATTTTTAGATGAGAGCGAATCGGGGCTACAGGGAAACCTAGCTAAGGGTCATTACGGCTAAGCAGAATGGGATATTAGTCCGTCGAGTCGGGAGAGTGAATAAGCGTATTTCTCTCACCAGCTCTTACCTTGTCAATGCGAAATGAATCACGGGATCCGACTGCTTACAAAGTCATGGTTTCCTGGTCCTATTGCTGGGAGTTTT